AAAGACATACTTTTATTGTTCAAAATAAAGCACTAAGGGTTTTGAATCAAGAGTACAAGAATATCAAGAAGAAGATTTCATGTTTCTCAAAAACTAGATTTTGACATCGAGAACAAGGGTTTTATGGCTATCAACCATAACTTCACTCAAAACATGGAAATAGCTGCAAGAATATCAAGAATCAAGGATTTCAATACATATATATAAGATTTAGAGTCAAAACATGTATATATATAAGCCCTAACATCAATGAACAAGAGTAGAAGAAAACCCTTATCTTCTTCTTCCTTAATGTTCTTGAAAAACTTAAGATTTTGATCTACTTCACGGTGAAAATCTCTCTTGATCTTGTGTTTTCTACCCTTATTTCTTGTTTCTCAAAGCTTTCTAGGGTTGTAAATGGTGTATGGAGGTTAAAGGAGGTGCCCTTGTGTATTTATAGGGTGAGAAGTGGCCTCCTGTGCGCGATTCTGAAGGTCTGAATTCGTAACTCACGTTCGAACATCATTGACGTTTGAACGTCCTTTGCGCCCAGTACTTTTGTTTTTCCATCAGACAAAAATTACTGGAACGCACTGTCGTTTGAACGGACTTTCACGTTCGAACGTACTTCCTATTTTTACTCAAACTTCCGCTGAAGTTTTGGTCTATTTAGAGGTCGATTTAGAAAATTTTCATGAAATACACTTTTGTAACCCTGGAAGTCTACTATCTACTGTAAAAAGTTCAGTTCAAATGGACATAAGGGTAAAAAGTTATGGTCTAAATACTAAAAAGTGTCTAAAATCCTTTCTACCCAAATTTTATCTAAAATGTGTTTGAACTCTGGACTACTTCCTAACTTCCAATCCATACCCTATTACCTCACCTAACAATTTTATTTCTACTTTTACAATCCACGTAATTCATGCATACATTATCACATATATTAACATTTTAAAAATAAGTACACTGCTATATTAAGATAAGCATGTGAGGGTTTCCACAAAATCTGTGCTCATAGTCTGGTAGAAGGTCATGAATTGCTGGCACTAAAACCTAGAAATGAAAAACTCAAAATGCATTAAACTAGTATCCTTTCAAATGTAGAATCAAACATAGTATGTATGTAGATTAATACATAGTATGTATTAAACTGGTATTACCTTTTGTTGGTAAAAAATAATAGTCTACTCAGACTGGTCTGCAAGCCCAATGTCAGCACAAACTAGTTGTACAAACCAAGTCCATGATGATTTTGTTTCCTTTTCAACTATTGCATATGCAAAAGGGTACATCCCGTTATTTGCATCAACCCCTACTGCTGATAGCAACTGCCCTGTGTATGTTCCTCTCAGAAAACATCCATCTAGACCAATCACCTTTATGCACCCTGTTATAAAACCTTGCTTGAGTGGCCCTAAACAACAATATAATCTTTTAAATCTTGGATTTTGATCTCCATTAATGTTGTCATCCACATCTACAACCATTGTAGATCCTGGCATTGCCCTTTTGATTTCTTTACAATAATTCCATATAAGTTTGTATTGCTCACTATGATTACCATCAACTAGAACCTTAGCCTTTGACTTTGTTCTATGAAATTTACTTCTTGATACTCTAGCTAAGTGATTCTTTAGGATAGTTTCTCTAAAAGACTCTATTGGCCACAGTGGATTGGACCTAAAGTTATCAACATACCTCTTGGATAACCAATTTGATGTCGCACTTTTTATAAAATGCTGGTCTACAATGGGTATGCTTATCAATCAAACTCTTCACTTGCAATGTGCTTTCACCTTGCATCTTAGATGCAAACACCATCCATTTACATGGTGGCTTGCATTTGTCTCTAACTCTCCATTTCTCATTCTTCACAAAGCTTATTTCCTTCCTATTCAATATGGAATACTCCTTTACAACATCTCTGAAATGTTTAGTTATGGCAAATAACATACCAACTGCAAACTGTGGATTGTTCATGTGCTTATCTGGATTAAAAATAGGATGCCTCCCTTTGTGATGATGATTTTCTTCATCAGATGAGGTTTGAAGACTCCTAATGTCATCAGAAAGTTCATACTCTGAAACAACATTATAATCATCAACTCCTACATTCTTCTGGTTAGATCTTATATCACTCTACTTGGTTGCATTATCAATAATCGTATCAATCAACACCTCATCTTCATTCAATTCATTATCAGTGTTATTTGCAGATTCTAAACTACTAGTAGAGCTTGTTGAAGCATTAGATGAAAGTTGTTATCACTAGTGCTTGACTACACTTGGCCTTTGCATTTCATGTATTGTTGCCTCATGGTCTAAGTATATCTCAATCACTCTATATGTTGGTATCCATTCCACCATTGAACGAATGTCTCTATCATTTTCCAAAACCCTTAACCCACTGATGATGTCCATTGCAGGAACTCTATACCAACATGCCCTTACATCAGCACGTCCAAACTCTTTGGACGTGCAATGAATCTCTAGAATTGAAATTTTTTTTGCATCAACTCAGTCAATGTACACAACAGAACCACCCACATATTTCTTATATGGTATGCTTATAAACTCACCCCCATAGTGTACTTCAATGTTGAATAAAGTAGAGTATATGGCTGAAACCATGCAAAATTAAAGTAAAATTCATATAAACAAATGAATTACAACACTTTATTGGGACCTCTGTTATTGGGACCACACACAAAAATATATTCTAATATTCTAAAGCGCAAAAAATCAAAATTTTGGGACCACTTACATCAATATATAATACAAGACAAAAAAAAAAGGTAGATCTTTCAACACCAATAGAAAATTGAATCCCAAAAATTAAATAATATAATATTCGTCTTCATTCAAACACTTAAAAAAACTTAGAATCGTGACTTATAATATATTTTATTTGGATCCAAAAATTGATCTACAAGTCGCAACATCCAATACATTGTTTTGGTAAGCACAAAGAAGCAGTTGATTAAGGTAGGGTTTGTGAACAATGGATGGAATCTGAGGTAGGGTTTGTGAACAATGGATGGAATCTAATGGGTTTCTCTATGAGAAGAGACCAACAGTTTTTCTTTTGAACAAGGAAGAGACAAACAGTTGAGCCAACTTACCCCGGAAAGAGACAAACAGCTCCTATTCCCTTAATTACCCTTGGACCTTGCCTCACGTGAGTCATGCGTGCATTTATCCGTCACAGTAAACAGCTGAATTGGATGGAAGGGCTTGATTGACACCCATTGATAAGTTGAAGGACTAAATTAACACAAACCAAAGTTGAGGAGCTAAATTAATACAACCAAAGTCGAGGGGCTTAATTGACTTAAACCATATAGTTTAAGGGATATATAGGTAGTTAACTCCTATATCATTCAATTGGCAATAAGAAAACACTGGTTCTTTTTTCTTCTTCTCTTTCCTGTTTCGGATGGGTTGGGTGAAAAAGAACATGGGCTCTTCCGGAGCTTGTTACTGTACACGTTACCACCTTTTGGGCAGGTTGTGGGGGCAATGCGCCCTAATGGGAGTTCCTCACCATTCATGGAAGCTTCAGGTGACCCCAAGAAAGTTTTTTTTTTGGTAAATAGAACATAGTAGGTGGGTGACCCCATAACTGAGTGAATATAAAGGCTCTCTTGTCCCAAAGACAAGAAGGAATGGTGACAAAGATTGTAGTATCCGCATCTTCATTGGAGGAAATGACAACCCAATTCATGTAGTACACCAACATAACCCTACTGATACCTACTTTTGCAGAAGTTCAGTCCACAGAGAAATCTACTTAGAGAATCCTCCATTTTGCTTTTATGATGTACCAGGATCCATTATAGTCATTGCCGCTGAGAGCTCTCTTAATGAAATTATTCATTCAATTACAAAAGGGCAAGGAAAGAAAACTTATCAATTTGAAATAAATCTGGTCTTCAAGGAACAGAAAACCAACGCGCCATCCGACAAGCAATCCAACTTATCAATTGATTATGTAGTTCAGGATCCAACAACCACATACATTCAGTTGAAACTCAAAAAACTTACTGTGAAGAAGTTTTATGTTCAGCCACCAACCTCCACGACATCTTACCTTATTTGCATACTAGAAATTTTCGATCCAACCAATCAATAACTTCATAAAAGAGCCATTTAGAAGAAAGGTCACGATATTGGTGTCACTGTATAAGTGCAAACTACTGCAACAAGCACGTACACTGAAAACTCAACAGATGAGTGAATCAATAAAAAGAACCAGTCTCGGCTGTAAAACAATAAGAAACAGCTAAGAAATTCTGACCTCACAGGACAAGCGTGTAGTTTCTTCCTAATTTCTATAATGTTTGATTTGCATTTGAAGTTCAAATTACTAACTGTAAACAGATGCCACTGGAACTCCTGAAAACTGTGCTTGGAACAGCTCACCAAAGATAAAAACACAAGTAAATCTCCAGCAATGGGAATCATGAGGACCCGAGAGTGCATCCCTATTCAACCACCAATTCGATTTCAACTGACCAAGCCTCTCCACTAGAACCTGTCATTATCATCGTAGAAAATCGTGGTAAAGTGAAACGCATGATTTACAGTATCAATTCATGGCCTAGGGGACAAAATATGTCACTTCAGAATAATGAGAACACTGCCTAATCACCCAGAAATGTGCAGAATAAACAGGAAATAATTAAAAAACATCACACATCATATCCATGGGAATTTACCCTAAAACAGAAGTATTCATGTGAATTGAAATCAGCTCAGAATGCATCATATTATCAGAAGGTCATCCCACATATGTTTTCAACTAACAAAACTTGTGCTATTCTTCACATTATCCAAGTAAATCATAACTCAGTACAGCCAGTATTCATTAGAAGCATAAACAAACACGTAGATTTCTTCAGCTGTAATCCTCTAACTAAACAGGGCAACCTATAATACACTGCAATTCAATCATAACCGTCCACAAGCTACAAAGAGACATGATTTACGACACACAGCCGAAGTCACAAGGCAATTCAAACAAACCCTCGGCAAGCAGCAATGAGAGATTCATATGATTCACAAAAAAGAAATAAATAAATAAAGGATGAACTAACTAATTCTAAATATACGGATAACCAAACCACAGTTTGCAGTTGCAACACAGAGCTGGTTCGAAGTTTCCAATCCTTGGCTATGGCAAAAAAACTCAATTGAAACAGTAAAACAAGCATTGCAAAACAAACTATAAAAACCCGCAATTCAAAACCCCATCGTCCCATCCCACAGTTATAGTAATCGCCCAAGCATCTACTCAGATTAGACTTGTTAACAGAAATGAAAACCAACACATGCATAAATATAAATACATGACAACGAGACATATGAAATTAGGTCTTAAATATAAAACCTTGGAGATCCAGAATTAATGTTCCGATGAAGAATCCGACGACTACCCGTTTCCCCCAAATCAATTAACTCCCTCAAGCCCAAGTTACTCACTTTCTCTTCTTTGTCATCGTCACCCTTGTCATCATGATCATCATCTTTCTTAGTAACAACTGGCTTCACAGCTACTCTCTCAAAGTAATTCCCATATATATACTCAGGTGTATACCCATTTTCCTCATCAAACAACATTAAATGCCCATGCCACTCCCAAACCCGATAATCCGACTCCTTCTCTTCGTGAAACCCAACACAAATATGGTGTTCGCCGATCGTAACGGCCTGGCCTGAATTGGGTTTCAGGGTTTCGATTTTTCCGCTGAGAATCGTACGAATAACCTCTTTTTCGAGTTTTGATTCTTCTTTGGCGAGTTGGGGTTTGTTGTCTTCATCGTCGTTTTCCGAATCGGAGAGGTTGGCGGTGTCTAAGAGGAGTTCCTCGAGGGTTTGAGCGAGGAATGGAGGTGAGTTGAGGTTCGGTGGGCGGATTTGGAGTCTGCCCATTAGGGTTTGGAGGAGGAGGTTGTCAAAGTTTGGGGTGTTGTTGAATGAACTCATGGATTTTTGGATTCAAATGCTACGTTCTTTGATCGAGAGAGAGATGGGGTTGAGGGTTTTGGAGAGAGAGTGACTATGGTTCCAGACTTTCAGCTTAGAAGGAGAAAGAGAGGCGTTGGGTTGAGGGAGCCTTTAGGCTTGGAGAGGGCGGTGGTATAACACCTTGACGGATGTCAAAGTGGGTTTAAGGGAAAATTTCATCTGCGCCCCTTTTAGACAGGTCTTGTTTCTAAAATTTCATTGACATCCTTTTGTCGGGATTTGTCCATAACGACAATGATGGAAGCAACCCTTCTATGTTTATATCTATTAAATTTATCAATATAATATATTTATTTACCTAAATATTGACTCATATAATTTTAATGGCACTTTCTCTCAATTTTAAAATTTCATTGTACTCCGTTTTAATTCTATTAAATTAATATTTAATTTTATCAAATTAATATCTTTTTTTTTAATTTAAACAAAATTAACATTCGATCTCATCAAATCAACACAAAATTAATATTTAATTTAATTAAATTAACTATTAGTTACATTAGTTCAATATTTTATTTTATCAAATTAATATTATTTCTTTAATTTAATACTAAATTATTTTTAAATTTTATCAAATTAAAATTTAATTATATTAAATAGAATATTCAATTATATTAATTTTACATTTGACTGATTTCTTTAATTTAACACTAAATTAAAATTCAATTTTATCAAAGTAACATTAAATTTTATCAAATTAACGTTAAAATAATATTTAATTTTATCAAATTAATATTTAAATTTATTAAATTAAAACTAATTTTATTCAATTAACATTAAATTTTATCAAATAATATTTAAATTTGATAATTTTCACTTTAATTTGGTAAAATTTGACTTTAATTTGGTAAAAATTGATGGAATTTAATGTTGATATAATAAAATTGAATGTTAAAATAATAAAATGATAGTTAATTTGATTAAATTGAATTTTAATTTGATATTAAATTTATTAAATTAAATTAAATGTTAATTGGATGAATTAAAAGTAATTTTTATGAATGCGAATATTAATTTAATAAAATTTTAGGTTTAAGACCATTGTTTGTTGGTGGCTTAGGGCATATATATAATGGGGCAAAGGGTTGAGAACAGTTTGGCGTTTTTAAAGAATATGTAGTTAAATTGTGTACTTTTTTAAGTGTCAAAGATGAAAGTTATCGTTATGGGATGTCAATAATTCTACACTACAAATTAGAATGGGGTTCAGTGAAATTTCATAATCGGGAGGAGATGACATTAAATTTAGACCTAATTATAAGAAATGTGGATGAAAATTTTCCTATTAAAAATACTTATGTTGATATAATTAATTCTAATCAATTTATTATTCAATTATAATTTTACTATAATAATTATTGAACATGGCTTTATGGTAATTAAAATGGTGGAGTTTATTAAATCTATTTGTTTATTTTAGTCCGTTGTTAATATCAGATATCAATAATGATGTGATATTATTGTTGCATTAGGTATTTTACTTGTTAGATAAAGGGTTGGTGAATTGATGTTGAACTATTTACATTGAGTATTCTTCCTTTTATTAAATCATGTGTATGATTCGATACATCATTTTTTGAATAAAACAAAACAATAGCATTTATTTTGGTTAAAGGAATTATTCTCAATTATTATTTTAAGTTTGTACCAGTGTTTTTATCAATCAATAAAGGGATAAATTATAATAGTATTTTGTTCCAATTCTTTTGCCAGACTTTCGGGTAAAGACGTATAACCTTAGCTTGATCTAATCTTAACCGATGATCAAAATATCAGTTGCTTAAGAAATAATAACGTTTTGAAAATATAATAAAAAATGGATAAAAAATTTAAAATTTATTTTTCAAATATTTCAAAGTATTAATCTAAATATATCTAAACATGTTGAAACACCTCAAACTATTTCGAAATATTGGTTAAAATATGATAAAACATCTCAAACTATTTTAAAATATTTTAAAATATTAAAATTTCGATTCAATCTCAAACCATTTCGAAATATTTTAAAATATTAAAATTTCGATTCAATTTATTACGATCATCTTAAAACCAAAAATATTTTAAAATGATATTTTGATTCTTTATTTAACTATTTGTCTGTCTCACCACGTGGAGGATATGTCAACATGGTACGTGCAACTGAAGTTGAAGGAATCAACGGGTTTACTTGATCAGATGAATGCATCTATTTTTCAGTTATTAACTTAGGTTCTCTTTGTTAAAATTGAAAGTTAAAACTGAAAGTTGAAATTTGAAAGGTGAAAATTGAATATTAAATTTATGGACTGTTTGATATTCACTGAAATTTAAATATTGAATTAAATCAAACTGATTGATAATTACATAGAGCTGACGTTTAAAAATAAATTAATTTTTAGTTTTACCCTTCCACTCTATAATTAAAAAAATATTTATAAAATATAAGTTTATCTAATAAAAAATGATAATATATCAAATCAATTTAATTCATAGCATAAATCATAATCACTATTATCATATTGTAGTTTACATTTAACGAACAATATTATAAAAATTAATTTAAGTTAAATTAATCACTTATAACTACCAATTGTCATAAATTTTGAAAATTACAACTAGGATACAAATGAAGAATTTAATTGTTGAGCAATTTGTTCACACAAATTGAGCATAAATATTTGAGCAGCTTGTGTCCTTCCTCCTCCAGCTTTAAAGCTAGTTGAAGTACTCAAATTTTAATGAGGATTGTCATAAGCAGCATTGACATCACTAAACTGGTCCAAAAAAGCATCTATGATACGGGTTCATCGGATAAAATTTTGTATGCTTATACAAGCAATTATAATATTCCTTTGTACAATAAAAAAATATGATGACATCTTTTTTAGTATTGAAAAACGAGCTTTCAATACTCCAAAAGTACATTCAATCACATTTCTTAATTTAGCATGTGTTTAGTTGAATAACTCTTCTTTTGTTCTTGGACAACTAATACCGCACATTACGATAGGGTGACATAAATCCACGTGTATGTGTATATGCCGCATCACATAAAAAATATTTATCTGCATGAATAATACAAAATAAATTATCTACATAAATATTTTATAACATTATTTAAATATTTTCATCTAATCTGGAAGAAGAATTGAAAAATTATTAGCTTTTAGAACTCTTGAGTTATATGCTTTCCCTTCCCAACCTGTCCAAACAAATGTGAACACAAGGTCAAAATCACATATAGCAAGTACATTTTGAAAATATTCTCCTTTGTCTCTTCCTCTGTATAGAACTTGTTCGTCTGGTGGCATAACAACATAAATTAGAGTTCTATCAAGTGCACCCACCGGACCCTTTCAAAAATAAATATGTTGGTATAAATGTTAGAATTTTAAAAAGGTGTAAATCATTATATATCCTATGAAGTTAAAATAAAACGAAAAAATACCTTAAATATTCCTCTGAGCCAACGGTGATGACTTATTGATGTAGATCGGGAAGGTCTAGAAATCACAAAATATAAAGAGAAGAAGAAAAAAATAGGGATTTAACTCATCCTCGCAAGAAATTGGTGAAGAAACATACAAATCTCCGCAGAAAATACTCAATTCTTATTTATAATCTCTCTCTAATAAAAATAATTGGGATCACACCTTTATTTATAGGTCAAGTTCCCTACTAAAATAAAAATTACTTTCCTACTAAAATACTAAAAGAGTTTCATAATCAAACTCTCAAATTCTTATTCTACTAAAACTCTATAATAATTTTTTAATTAAACTCTAATTAATACTGATAGTCAAAAAAATATTCATTAACTAATAAAATAATACTAAAACAAATAATAAAATTCAATTCTTCAATTTAAGCTCATCCAATCCCTTTTCGATCTCTATCAATTCTCCTCGACTGAAAAAAAACTCTTTTCTAAGGAGTTGTTGTAGCAAGAATATTCCAAGAGAATTGACATTAGACGATGAAGCACATCTTCAAACCCAATAACATAAAAGTGAGATTTTTAGATATCACAATGGGAGGAATTTATATCTCGAATATTTATAACCTACACACTTTGTTCCAGATAAAAGGATAGTGAGGATGTTAACGAAAAAGTAGCAACCCTATCTTAAAAAATCACGTTTAAAACTTGTTTAACTTCATTTGTAGGAACACCCTTTGCAATCGTCTTATCAAAAGCAGTTGTTGTAGGATGAGTATAAGTAGAACTTTTGGGTTCATCAACATTAAATAAATTTAGTTTATCATCATTCAATTGGATTGGAACTTGTAGTGGTGGAACTTGTGGTATAACTGGAGGGCAGTGTTCAACCACTTTTTTGTTGACAGTTAAAGAGACAAAGTTAAAATCTTCACTTGTTTTGGTTTCACAAACTGTAGCGAACACAAGTTCTCTCAGTGAATCGATAGATGCTTGAATTGTATCTAGTCTAGCATTCATAACCTTTGTGAATCAACTTGTACTTGGGATAAAACCTCCACTTTAGCATTTAATTCGGCGTTGGAAATCATATTTATTGGAATAGAATTTAAGAACATTTTTTTTTTTGAAAATTTTGAGGTCAATCTATAATTT